TCTTCAGCGATCGTGCCAGGCAGGTGAGCATCTCAGACTGCCGATTTGTTAGAACAAAGTGTTCTTGTGTTGAGGGAGTACTTGTTGAGCACATTTCTTAATGCAGTTTTTGTGACAAAATTAGGTGCCTCGGCTGATATTCAGCTTGGCCTGTACTCGAGTATATATAGTAGTTGTTTGTTTGGGATCTTTTGATACCTGATCTTGTCGACACTTCATGATCACACAGGATAGTGTGCTTCTTCCATGTGGGCTCATTTACTTCTCGGCTAGATGGCTGCTTATTTAACTTCAAGCCTTTAAGACCCCAGAAACTCTATCTTTTAATAGCTGGACATCATTTGCGCTCATCACATTTGCTTATGTACCTATTTTGTCTTCAGCAATCGTGTCAGGAAAGTAAGTATCAAAGAGTTGTTAGAACAGTGTTCTTGCATTAAGGGAGGCCTTGAGTAGAGGCTCAAAGTCCATCTTAATACTTAACATATACATTGGCCTCTATCCCTTTCATTAAAAGTTAATATATTTACATATATACAGGATTATAGTTATACCTCTATAAATAGCTTTTGCCTCCTATTTCTTTCCTCTATTTCTTTTCACCTTCGTCCTATCCCACTATCATGCTCACCCTCCATTTGGCTCTAAATAATTCCTCTTGGATACATTGCATTTGATTAAACCCCACTAGGCATTATATGCCCTCTTAGCCATCAATTTTAGATCTCTTGTTGTTCCCTTATCTCTGATTTGTTGGCTGCCCCCTCCCTCTCCCCACTCTCTCTTCTCCCATGTCCCCTGGAACTGCTGGTCCCGTTGTTTTCTCCTCAGGAATGTTCATCCTGCCTACCTTAATTCCATTTTCTCTCAATCGCATTTCTCCACAAACTTTTTGAAGTCCCCTCATAGATCTAATTAATATTTACTCTGTTATACTTCTCCAAGCAAGTAACTGTTTCTGACATGGCAAATTATGGAGCACAACTTCTCTATCTGAAAGAGTATACTGTAGTTAAATAGAAATGTTATGTCAAACAATCCCTTTAAGTATGTATATTGGAAAACACTGCTAGTTTATGACTTTTGCAAACAAAATCATAGAAGTTTAATTTCCACTCATGCTTGGAAAATCCTCTGTCCTGTCCTACTTTTTCCTCCTTTAAGGATCTCTCCCCAGATTCCAAGAAACTTCTGGCAACATTGGTTAAAAAGGAAACCCGAGAGATTCTCCCTGGCTTCTAAGACTGCTATATATGCAGTGCTCAAACCTTCATGCAATTAAGTGTCACCCTGAGAGTTTCCTGAAAATGGAGACTCTTAGATCCTGCCCTTCAGGGAATGTGATTCAGTAGTGAGGCAGGAAATTGCATTTTTATTAGGAATGTTAGCAGACTCTAATGCAGGTCCCATGAAAAATTCTTTAAGAAGCACTAGACTATTCAGAAGCTATCCTGAGTGGGAGGCTCTTGTACTTCACAAATCTTACCACTGTTAGCTTTACAATTCTGTTTCTAGCATGCATCCTTTTAAAACACTATAAAAGGTTTCCTCTCAAAAAAATTGCAGAATTAAATCTCCTGATCACCTATTCCCCATGAGCTGTAAATGAGTTTGCATTGTAAATGAGTCCACATGTTTTCAGACCCAGGCGTTTAATCGCTAATCAGTGTTATACTCTGTCAAGAAAGCAATTACAATACAGAACTTCTGTCAATTTTCAATGATCTCTCATTATCTTTTCTTTCCAGAGGTGGGAATGTTCTATAAGATAAGTTTTAAAGCTCATAAATACCACCGTAACTGTGTCCACACAGTTTGCACAGCATTGCTGCTATCAGGATGCAACAAGCAACTCTGTGGACAGATTCAATTCCCATCCCAAATGGCACAAAACAGGGCCAAATTACCTGGCCCCTATTCTTTTAGCCTATTTCTGTATAAATTATCTCTATATAGGCATAAGCCAAAAAACATTACTACAAAATAATAAAAACTTTTATTAGGCAGAACAATCAAACTGTGACATTATCGTTCCCTGGCTTATCTACTCAGATCGATACATTTCTGAGGCAGGTTCCCTTCTCCAAAGGACCCGAAGCTCTTCAATGTATAATATGTCAAAACAGCAGTTTGGTATCACTGAATCCCTTGGAGGGACTCAAATCATGTTCCTTTTCAATGTTCTTTGAGTTTGGGGAAGAAGAAGTCTGAAGAGGCACAATCAGGGCTGTAGGATCGGGAGGGGTAAGATTTCCCAGCAAAATTCTCCTAGGACAGCCTTTGCTACCCTCAAAGAATCATCTTTTCCATTTTTTAAATGTCTCCATAATGAGCCCCATAATCATCCTGTATCCTTTGAGAAAATCTATCATTACCTCTTTGAAGTCAAAAAATAATAATAATCACCATAAAGTTCTGAGCTGACCTCTCTGCCTTCAATCATGCCAACAGCTCCCCTCACAAACCACTGTTTTGATTGGGCCCTCTGGGTCATGTTGGTAAACCCAAACTCATCCCTTCATAAAATGGTTGAACACAACTGTTTTTGTTAGCATCCATCTTTCTTAACAGAGTGATAGAAGACCAGGTCTTTGAGCTAGATGACATAGTGCTTTGGGGACTCATTGAACCAACAGTTTGCTGAGGCCAAGACGTTTGCTTAAAAGTGAGAAGGCCAAACCATGTATGACCCCAAACTCAGCAGTGATCATGTGAATGCCCATTCTGTGGTCTTCTTCTGGACTTCAGCTACTGCTTCTTCATTTGTCAGTGGTATCAATCTGCCTTCTCGTGGTTCACCTTTGGGGCCTCCTTAATCTTCCTCAAAATGCATGATCCATTTAAGAACTGTGGATATATGCGGGGCGGCATTTGTGTAAACTTCCATGATTTTGGAAGACATCCACTTGAGTTTTGTTAAAAATCTGATAATTATACCTGAACTCAAGATCTTTTTTTATTTTATACCACAAAGAATTATTCTTTTGGGGGGTGGGGTAGGCAGCACCCTACTATGTCTAACACAAGTGTATTACTGAGAGCATTTGGCTGTGGTAATCCCATTATTGTACACTTTGTTTGGGATAAACCCATGTATCTATGAACCAAAACTCTGTAGCAATACTTTGTTACTTACCCTGATAAGCATTAGATTAATTGGATTCATGTCCACCTGCCACAACAAATATGACAAATTTTCTCTTCTTTCCTGATGACATACATTAGGGTTTTGTATTGTCTTTTCTCTCAAAAATCTTAGACTTAACTAACAGCCAAACTCCTTTTTGACTGTTGTCATGGATTGACTTGTGTACTGCACCCCAAATGTGTCAATTTTGATAAGCTATGATTCTCAGTATTGCGTGATTGCCCTCCATTTTGAGATCTGATGATGTAATTGTCCTATGTGTTGTAACGCTTACCTTTATCATGTTAATGAGGCAGGATTAGAGGACTAAAGGCAGTTATATTAAGAAACAGGGAGCTACATATAACCTCCTCTCTGGGGGACGGGCAGCAGAGGGGTGGGTGAAGGAAGACGCCGGACAGTGTAATATAAGATACAATAATAATTTATAAATTATTAAGGGTGCATGGGGGAGAGGGGAGGAGGAAGGGAGGTGGAGGGGAAAAAAGGAAAATGAGCTGATTCCGGGAACCCAAGAGGAAAACGAATTTTGGGAATAATGAGGGCAACAAATGTATAGATGTGCTTTACACAATTGATCTATGTATTGTGATGAATTGTATGAGCCCCAATAAA